CATCTGATCGAAACAACAGAACAAGAACACGAAGTCGAACTAGAGCGTTTTGATATGACATGATGTAGTTTTATATATATCTTGAGAAGAGCAAAAAACTCCGCTATGGCCACGTGAGTCAGGAGTCATTGTTTAGAAAAGGGTTTGAAAGTTAATGTTTTATGGAATAAATTGTAAAACTTTAGACTTCCGAACGCTCGTCAATGCAGTCATAAAACCGCCTTATGATGCAACAGTCCTTTCTTGAAACTCCCGTTATAGTTCCGAGTCCGTCATGTGACAAGATTTACCACAGCTACTTTGTTTGTCCTCTCACCTCAAATTGATACTTTGAAAAATTTAACGAATAGATGTACCGTGCGTCTGTTCAGTACTAGATCACAAACGACGTCAAAATGAGGTAAGAAAAAATGGCGCACACGAGCCGTTAGGCGAGTGTGTCACTGATGTTCTTACCACATTTTGGGTCCTCCGTGATCAAATACTGAACAGACCCACGGCAACATGAAATCTACTTGTTTTATATGATAATGAAACAAAAATAAAATGTTGATGACGTCATTTATACGTCTGTCCTTCAATAGATCATCAGTAAGAACCAAACAAAATAAAACCAACAATCAGGGATATTTACCCTTTTAGTCAACACGAAGTAGACTAGACTCGGTACAGTATTGGTCAAGATATATTTTTCTCGCTCCTTCTCACTCTACACAGACGAATTGATTGGCGTAATACTTCATTTACTGCCCACCCGAAGTCACTAAAAGAGAAATTATCTGATCTCAAGCGTAATACGGATGGAACAGCCTGACTGCGCGCGGGACTGAACAACTTGAAGGGTTATTTGTGATTTCGAACTTAATTGGATGTTCCTTGATACTATGATTTATAAGCTGTATTTGTCTGGTACCAGTGTCAAATGGTACAGTGCAATCAGTTGTCTTACGATATAATGCGACCTTGACACTTTCGCCGTACAGTACCAACTTTAGAGCCTTTTTTGTTTATACAGTCTGCTTTGTTTATGTGGGTAGTTAGTAACATATTTAAACGGAGCATCAGAAAGTAACGGCTACCCGAAAGTAGCGGCCCCTTCTGCCTGCTACATCTCAAATTGACTTACTTTCGGAGTTCTACCGTAACGCATTAAACTCAGTGGAGTTGTGTGACATTCAACCAAGCTATGATATTTATTGTGGATGTCATTCAGCAGCTTACCACTTCCACCACCACC